GGGATACGAGCCTCCCACGCTCGGCTTCCTCTACAGGGCAAACCCTCCCACCGGTGCGACCTCGGCCGTACTCCAGTCCACCATAGCTCTCCCGAAGAAGAAAAGACGGAAGAGATCCACGTGCGGCTCCATCCCAAGGAAGGCCTCATAGACGACGATGAAACCAGCGATGTGCAGCACCCCCATCGGGTTGAGATGCTGCAGCTCCAGACACCACTCGTTGAGGAGCCCGCGTTGGAACCAGTGCGCGGGGTACCCTAGTCCGCACTCATGGAAAGTGAGGAAAAGAAACCACCTTGTTGGGACAAGGTTGTGGGAACTCCTCCTTCCTGAGGACCCTCCAGTGTGCCACCTCCTGTGGCAGCAGAAACCCCTTCACGACGAAAGCCTCCAGCACTGACTTCTTCACGGTGGATGACCGCCAGTCAGACATTTCGCCCCGGATCATGAAGAATCGGTGAGTCCCTCTCTTCTCCCTCGCTCTCTCCCCCTTCTTTCCTAGAAACCTCTGTGGCCCTCAGGAACGCTCACGGCAAAAAAGGAAGAGAGAAGGAGGCGGCAGATGAAGAATGGGCAAAGGAACAAAATGAAAACCCTCTCCCTGCTCCTACTTAAAGGAAAAGGAATAGCGGTTAAGGAAGGACGCGCCGATCGGGGAAGGCAGATCGGTGAAGAGAGAATCTCTCTCTTCTCCATTTAATGTAGATGAGATGTGCCCTAAACCGATGAGACATGGCCTGCTCGATGGAACAGCTCCTGATCGGACGGGATGTGGCCTGGCCATGGCCCACCACTACCACACGATCAACCACTACCACACGATGGGCACAGGAACCGAAGCGCCACCGCACGTGGGTGGCTCCCCGCTTCCCCAGGCTAGGCCTGGGGAGACCAAAAAACAAAAACTCCATCGGGAGACCAACCGATCCCCCAAGCTGATCGAATGGCTTAGGATAAACACCAAGACACAGGTAGGAAGCGAAGGGATGCCCCATGTAGGCCATGACGACTCCGTCATGAATGACGAGCACAGGTCCCGGTCGGATGTTTCCGACTGAAGCTCTCCGACCCCCGTCATTCCAGTCGTCAAGGTAAACATTACCAAAACCCCCTCTATTTCTTTATAAATCATTCATACATCCATACGCGCATTCATTTCATACGCCCACACCTTCCGAACGAATCAAGCCCTGAACCGCCTGGGGGCTCGAGAACTAAGCATCGCACATGCAGCGAAATGCAACAGAACGCTCCGTGTTGCGTCACAAAGCGGCGGTTGCCTCATTCAACATAGGGCAACCAACAGAGCCAGGGGAGAAAACCATAGATGAGCACCGTGCGTCCCGAGCCGGGTCTGGCAGACCGGGTCATCTCAACCTTCTCGTTCGATCCTGAACCTGTCGCTAGGCCCACAGAATCTCCATCGAAGGGGAGGCCGTTAGGCCACCCGGGTCGGTCTCTGGAATGACCTAGGCATCTGTCGGGTTGCAGGTAAAGGAGTAGTGGAATGTCACAAGAGGGCTATGCCAACCCCATCACGAACGACGGACCCGGATTCCACTCGATCACACCCATTAGCGAACTCACCAAGCTAGTCTTTGAGCCCGAGCGATCGGGACAGGCGACGAAACTCAGCCCCTCCGGTTGTGAGGAACTGAGGATGGGGTAACGCACAATACTCGCATCGACCCCCACGAAGGCCCGATATGGCTCGGGGGCTCAAGAAAAAAAACGCCAAGGATAGCGACCTCGAACTCGCCAGATCCATGACTCCGACTCGCCCGATCCCGCGGCGCGCAACGATGCCAGGATCCGCGAGCATCGCCTCGTTCGATCTTTAACCAACTGACTACGCTTTGGCTTCAAAAAAAGGCTTCACTTCTGACTGCGCTCCAATAAAATCTGGGACCACGACTCCTAAACTCGCGTAACGGCTTCAAACGGCTTCACTGCGCTCCAATAAAACCTAGGACCGTGACTCCAAAACTCGCTTAACGGCTTCAGACGGCTTCACTTCGCTCCAATAAAACCTGGGACTGTGACTCCTAAACTCGCGTAACGGCTTTCAGATGGCTTCACTGCGCTCCAATAAAACCTAGGACCACGACTCCTAAACTTGCATTATGGCTTCACTTCTGACTAGCGCTCCCAGGATCCACGAGCTCCGACTTGTCCGATTCCTAAACTAATTAAACTAACTCCCTCGGTCCACGGTGCGCACCGACGCCTGGGTCCATTCGCGGCTCCACCTCGCTCGATCCCACGGCGCGCATCGACACCAAAGATCAGTGAGCTCTGACACTTCCGAACCGAGCTATCACCGTCCGTGGCGCGCACCGACGCCAGCGTTTTCTCCAAACTAACCTTCTCACCTGATCCGCGGCGCGCACCGACGCCGGGATCAATAAGTTCTGTCTCATCCCCATGCCTAAAAATGCCTCAGCTGCACAACGACGCCATGGTTAAAACAAAATTCTGTCTTGAACTAAAATACGCACGCCCGCTAAAACAAAACACCCCCCAGACGGTTCGGCCCGAACGCTTTCGGGGCTCGAAACTTCTACACCCGCGGTGCGCCACACGCACTCACCGACACAACAATGAAAAACCTCCCCATCGACAACAGAAAACCCCAGCCGGTTCTACTCGAACCGCCTGGGGCTCGAAACTACACCGTGGAAAGTGCGCTCACGCGCACCACCGACAGATAAAAAATCCCGGACGATTCTGCTCAAATCGCCCGGGGCTCGGAGGCTCCTGTCGGGTTCATAAACCTGGGGTCCCTCGGGGACCGGCTTCTATGCCAGGGCTTGGCCCAAGAAAACAGCATGTAGTTCGGGGGCCGGCCCAAGAGCCTAAAACACAACGGGCCAGAGGGACAGTCCGGTCGCTGAACGAAAGGTCTACCCAAAAACAAGCGCTCGCTCATCAACTTCTTCGGCCCACCTCTCTGACCGAGCACTCGATTCGGGCACCAGCCGCCTCCGGGCAGTCTCTCCGATCGAAAAGGCCTGGCCCAAAACGCTGCTTCCTACTCTGACCCAGCGTCTCCGATCGAGGACCCCGTTGGAAGTTTGCTTACTGCTCTTCTCCGACTAGCACGGCCAGGGCCGACTGGATCCATCTGACAAGACCCCGCTCGGAAGGGACCAGGGACAATGGAGAAGGCTGCGCGCAAAGTCAAACCACGATACCAGGACCATACCCTGAACGCCTGTAGGAACAGTACTCCATAATCGCCCTGACACAAACAATATTGTAGGCGCCGACATTTGTGTCTACAGTATGGTAGGCGCCGTTGGACTCCCGTACAGCAATAAGCCCCCGCATGCCTCTGGGCATCGATAGCACTGTGGGCGCTAGGATTCACCATACCTAGTACACATGGTAGGACTCCTCACATACCAACAGTATTTTGCAGGTACCAACATCCACCCTTCCTGAAGAAGCCAACGCAACCTCCCATGTGCACCTGCCATCCTACAGTGACATCAACAGTATTTTGGGCGCCTACCATCATCACTATCCTCATCGGCGTGGGCAACAAGGCTTAGTAACATCCGTACTCTCCCCCTCTCACCTATAAAGCCATCCCCTTCATCTATAAAAGGGGATGCACTCCCTCCAATGGAGGAGGCCCACTTCTTCAAGTTCAGACTCACTAGATCGATAGCTCACAAACCCCTCAAGCACACGCTTGAACACCTAGCTCATAGCAGAGTTCCGGTCGCCCTCGGCCCTTTCGGTCGGACCCGACCGGGCCTCTCACACACCCCCTCCTCAAGGAAAGGCAATTCTTGCATCAAAAGGCACTCTTCTTTTGAAGAAGAAATGGAAATCTTACCTTGTCAATTTCTCGCAATATTTTTTCTATTTTTGGACTCAACCACAAAGGATTCGTCTAAACCAATTAACAAACTCTTGCTTCGATTTTCTGGGGTACCTTTCAAGTGTACCAATAAATACTTTGTTAGTAAGGAATCAAATGCTGGAGAATTCTTTTCTAATAGATACTCGAATGAAAAAATTCGATACCACAGTCCCTGCAACTCCCCTCGTTGGATCCTTATCAAAAGCTCAATTTTGTACTGGATCGGGGCATCCTATTAGTAAACCCGTTTGGACTGATTTATCAGATTGGGATATTCTTGATCGTTTTGGTCGGATATGTAGAAATCTTTTTCATTATCATAGTGGATCTTCGAAAAAACAGACTTTGTATCGACTAAAATATATACTTCGACTTTCATGTGCTAGAACTTTAGCTCGTAAACATAAAAGTACGGTACGAACTTTTATGCAACGATTGGGTTCGGTATTTTTAGAAGAATTTTTTACGGAAGAAGAGCAAGTTTTTTCTTTGATGTTCACCAAAACCAAAACAATTCACTTTTCTTTCCATGGATCACAAAGTGAGCGTATTTGGTATTTGGATATTATCCGTATCAATGACCTGGTGAATCCTCTTACTCTTAATTAATCATTAGACAAAATTAATAAACTAGAAAAGATCGATATCAAGATAAAACTTGCACATTTTCCATTCTGAAATGTTCCATAGTAGGTGAATCACTTTAACTAATTTAAAATTCTAAAAATTAGTGGACTTCCTCTTCGGAATAGAAATTGGCTATTTCTACATAGGGAAAGTCGTGTGCAATGAAAAATGCAAGCACGATTTGGGGAGGGGTTTTTTTCTATTGTAACAAGGAAGAATTATCTACTCCATCCGACTAGTTCCGGGTTCGAGTCCCGGGCAACCCATATGGAAAATAGAAAAGAGCAATCTGAGTTTTGAATTTTTACTAACTTCATTTCCAAAATTTTTGGATTTGGTAAATGAAGTTATACGAAAATACAATCGTTGGGGCTAGTTTGGTTGACATTGGTATATGGACTATGTTATACTGTTAAATAACAAGCCTTCTATTATCTATTTTCTTTCTAGTTAATACGTGTGCTTGGGAGTCCTTGCAATTTGAATAAACCAAGATCTTACCATGACTGCAATTTTAGAGAGACGCGAAAGTACAAGCCTGTGGGGTCGCTTCTGCAACTGGATAACTAGCACCGAAAACCGTCTTTACATTGGATGGTTCGGTGTTTTGATGATCCCTACCTTATTGACCGCAACTTCCGTATTTATTATCGCCTTCATCGCTGCTCCTCCAGTAGATATTGATGGTATTCGTGAGCCTGTTTCTGGTTCTTTACTTTATGGAAACAATATTATCTCTGGTGCTATTATTCCTACTTCTGCGGCGATCGGATTGCATTTTTACCCAATTTGGGAAGCTGCATCTGTTGATGAATGGTTATACAATGGCGGTCCTTATGAGCTAATTGTTCTACACTTCTTACTTGGTGTAGCTTGTTATATGGGTCGTGAGTGGGAACTTAGTTTCCGTCTGGGTATGCGCCCTTGGATTGCTGTTGCATATTCAGCTCCTGTTGCAGCTGCTACTGCTGTTTTCTTGATTTACCCTATTGGTCAAGGAAGTTTCTCTGATGGTATGCCTTTAGGAATATCTGGTACTTTCAACTTTATGATTGTATTCCAGGCAGAGCACAACATCCTTATGCATCCATTTCACATGTTAGGTGTAGCTGGTGTATTCGGCGGTTCCCTATTCAGTGCTATGCATGGTTCCTTGGTAACCTCTAGTTTGATCAGGGAAACCACTGAAAATGAGTCTGCTAATGAGGGTTACAAATTTGGTCAGGAAGAAGAGACTTATAATATTGTGGCTGCTCACGGTTATTTTGGTCGATTAATCTTCCAATATGCTAGTTTCAACAACTCTCGTTCTTTACACTTCTTCTTGGCTGCTTGGCCTGTAGTAGGGATCTGGTTCACTGCTTTAGGTATTAGTACTATGGCATTCAACCTAAATGGTTTCAATTTCAACCAATCTGTAGTTGATAGCCAAGGTCGCGTTATTAATACTTGGGCTGATATCATCAACCGTGCTAATCTTGGTATGGAGGTAATGCACGAACGTAATGCTCACAACTTCCCTCTAGACCTAGCTGCTCTTGAAGTTCCATCTCTTAATGGATAAGGTTTTTCTCTCCTAAACATATAGGAATTTTTGAAGGAAGGAAAGCCGGAAATACCCAATATCTTGTTCCAACAGGATATTGGGTATTTCTTTGTTTATTCTGAATCTTTCTATTCTGAATTCAATTAACGACGAGATTTAGTATCCTTTCTTGTACTTTCATAACTCGTGAAATGCCGAGTAGGCACGAATTCCCCCAATTTGCGACCTACCATAGGATTTGTTATGTAAATAGGTATATGTTCTTTTCCATTATGAATCGCGATTGTATGGCCAACCATTGCGGGTAGAATGCTAGATGCCCGGGACCACGTTACTATTATTTCTTTCTCCTCCTTCATATTGACCTTTTCGATTTTTGCCAATAAATGACGAGCTACAAAAGGATTCGTTTTTTTTCGTGTCACAGCTGATTACTCCTTTTTTTCATTTTAAAGAGTGGCATCCTATGTCCACTATCTCGATCGAGGTATGGAGGTCAGAATAAATAGAATAATAATGAATGGAAAAAAGAGAAAATCCTTTAGCTGGATAAGGGGCGGATGTAGCCAAGTGGATCAAGGCAGTGGATTGTGAATCCACCATGCGCGGGTTCAATTCCCGTCGTTCGCCCATCGCATTATTGCAATTTCCAAAAATGCAATTTTCCATATTCCTAGTTACGTATTTACTTACGGCGACGAAGAATAAAACTATCACTATATTTTTTCCTTTTCCTAGTTCTTCTTCCAAGCGCAGGATAACCCCAAGGGGTTGTGGGTTTTTTTCTACCAATGGGGGCTTTCCCTTCACCACCCCCATGGGGGTGGTCCACAGGGTTCATAACTACCCCTCTTACTACGGGGCGTTTACCTAGCCAACACTTAGATCCGGCTCTACCCAAACTTTTTTGGTTCACCCCAACATTACCCACTTGTCCGACTGTTGCTAAGCAGTTTTGGGATACCAAACGGACCTCCCCAGATGGTAATCTTAAAGTGGCCAATTTACCCTCTTTTGCAATCAGTTTCGCTACAGCACCTGCTGCTCTAGCTAATTGCCCACCCCTTCCACGTGTGATTTCTATGTTATGTATGGCCGTGCCTAAGGGCATATCGGTTGAAGTAGATTCTTCTTTTTTATCAAAAAACCCCTTCCCAAACTGTACAAGCTTCTTCCAAAGCATACGGCTTTCTAGATGTATATGACGATCTCTAGACAGATGGATCTTATATGAATCGTATGATGAAGTACCACATGAGTGGATATATAGAAAAGGAATCCAAATCCGCCGAATCGCTCATGTTATGATCTTCTACATCCTAGGTCTCCGCGTTCCGTCATCTGGCTTATGTTCTTCATGTAGCATTCAGATCGAATGACTCTATGAAATTACGTCGATACTTCCACATATTATGGGTAACGTAGGAGACATCCCTATTTTCACCCGGGGGTCTTAATTACCACTGCTTAGCTTTCAATTCGCCTCTGACCATCAAATTAAATGTGAATAACCCGTCCTCCTCTCTTTGAAACAAGGGGCGCTTCCGGTTCTGTGCGTGCTTCAAACAATTTTGTCTTCTCCATATTACCATATCTCTAGAGTCAATAATTTTCTATGAGGAACTACTGAACTCAATCACTTGCTGCCGTTACTCAACAGTTTTCTGTTGAGGTCTATCCCGTAGAGGTAGTCAAATTGGATCAGTGATCGATTTCTAGGTTTCGTCGTAAACCTAATTGGTTACTTCCAATTACGTAAATCAATAGTTCAAACCGCACTCAAAGGTAGGGCATTTCCCATTGATATAGGAACTTTTGTACCAGAAACAATAGTATCTCCAATTATAGCCCCTCTGGGATGTAAAATATATCTCTTCTCACCATCCCCATAGTGTATGAGACAAATGTATGCATTTCGATTAGGGTCGTATTCTATGGTTACGATTCTACCAGATATGTCTTTTTGATTCCGTCGAAAATCGATTTTACGGTATAGGCGCTTATGACCTCCCCCTCTATGCCTTGCGGTAATGATTCCTCTGGCATTACGACCTTTACCACAACGGTGCCGTCCATGGATCAATTTATTTCGTGGATTGGATTTCACTTGCCTGTCTACGGTTCCCTTGCGTGTGCTCGGGATAGGTGTTTTGTATAAATGTTTCGCCGTATTATTAAGTATTCTCCTTTAGTTCGTTTCTCTATCTAGAAGTGGAATAGAATAACCCGGTTGAAGGGTAATGATCATACGTCTGTAATGCATTGTATGTCCCAGAATAGGTCCCATTCTTCTACCCTTTCCGGGTAGTCGATGGCTATTCACAGCTACTACCTTAACACCAAAGAAGAGTTCGACCCAATGCTTTATTTCTGTCTTAGTGAATCCCGATTCGACATTAAAAGTATATTGATTCTTTCCCAATAAACGAAGACTCTTTTCTGTAAATACTGCGTATTTGATTCCATCCATAAATCGACTTTCCCTCCTATGCTCTGAGTTCCAGTATCGATAAGAATTCGAGTTCTTATTGTTCTTATGTTATGGTATGAATATACCATACCAATTCGTTATGTATGGATGATGGATGAGATTCCATGGATAGAGAGCCAGTTCCAATAGACCGTTCCCGTTCGCGTGCATCCAGCAGGAATTGAACCCGCAAATTTACCAATTATGAGTTGGGCGCTTTAACCATTCAGCCATGGATGCTTAACAGGGATCATCGTACATCGTAAATAACCAATTTTCATATAGAAAGACATATCATAGAAAAATGAAATCGAAAATATTCGGAGATGGCAAATATTCGGAGATGACTATGAAAAAACCTCTCCGGATCCTCGAATTGAAAGAGAGATTGAGAGGGATCAAGAATCCTAATTCTCGCTATTTGGAATGGATCCAATTCTATTGAGTCTGACCCATAGTGATCATTTCTCTTTAGCAAAGAATGACCTTGGTTATCAAAGGATTGAACAACCGAGATCCATTTACTTATGATACCTAGTTGACATTGCTAACAAGGATCTAATGAATTATGAGTTTAATAGATCCTCTTTAGCAGAAAGACGTATATTCCTTGCTCATTATCAGACAATCACTTATTCCCAAACCTCGTGTGGGGCTAATCGTTTTCATTTACCATCTCATGGAAAACCCTTTTCGTTCCGCTTAGCCCTATCGGGTATTTTAGTGATAGGTTCTATAGGAACTGGACGATCCTATTTGGTCAAATACCTAACGAAAAATTCCTATTTTCCTTTCATTAAGGTACGAGGGCTTCTTATTCCACAAGAACGAAAGCACCTTTTCATTCTTTCATATACTAGGGGTTTTTACTTGGAAAAGACAATGTTCCATACTAAAGGATTCGGGTCCATAACCACGAGTTCCAGTGCACTAGATCTTGTAGCACTTAGCAACGAGGCCCTATCCATTAGTATTCCACATAAGAAATCCATTATAGAAACTAATACAATTAGATTAGCTCTTCATAGACAAACTTGGGGTTTGCGAGCCAAGATAAGACCGGCTCGGGATCATGGGACCCTTTTCTATCAGATAGGAGGGGATCTTGTACAAAATAGACTTCTAAGTAATAACCCCATAGATCCTATATCTATCTATATAAAGAGGCAATCGTGTCAGGAAGCGGCTTTTTCTTTGGCCAAACGGTACTTCGAACTTGGAACGAGCATGAAGAGATTAACGAGACTTCTTTCTCTTTTTTTTTCTGGCTGGGACCGGTCGCGCAAGATCTTTGGTCTTCCCCGGAACCGATGAAAAAGTGGGTCGCTCTTATGGACTCGCTCAGAATGATTCTCTTCTCTCTATAGTTCATGGCCTATTAGAAGTAGAAGGTGCTCTGGTGCAATCCTTACCGACAGAAAAAGATTGCAGTCGGGTTGATAATAATCGAGTGCCATTACTTCGTCGGTCCGAAAGGAATCCGTTAGAAATTTTTGAATATTGTGGAGCAGCGAGGATCGACGCGAGCGGAGGGTGGTGATTGTCTCCGGGGGCTCTATTTATCGTGGTGATTGTGAGGGTTCTTGACCTTCCCCATCATCTTTGTGAGATTGTGAGAGAATCCAAAAGGTACTCACTTGGTGTTCGTGGATTCACTTGTTACTCTTGTGGTTGCTTTGTGTGATCCTCATCTTGTGTTGAGGGTTCTTGACCTTCCCCGCACCCAAAAGGTATTGAGGGTTTCGTGGCTTGTGTGATCCTCATCTTGTGTTGGTTGTGCCACCCTATTGAGGGTTTGGCGTGTGATGCCAAATAGCGCATGAACCTCTAAGTGAGTGAATCGCCACAACGAGGAGTAGCTTGCCGATAAGCAAGTGAACCTCGGTAAAAAATCATTGTGTTCATCATTTGATTCTGAGGTGATTAGTCTTCATTGATATTAGTTCTTATGATTGATTGGTTCACTCCTCAACACGGCGGTATAATTATCTTGCTCACTCTCTTTACATTACCGCAAGCTAGTTGTCAAGCTCTTTAGTGTAGCTAGTTGTGAGAGCTTGTTAGCTTGGTTAGTGTGGCTCTTTAGTTAGCCTTTGAGAGCACACTAACTTAGTGTAGTGACATAGCTATTGTGTGAATAGAAACTATATCAACTAGAATTGTGATAGGTGGCTTACAATTTTTAGTAGGCTAGCGCAACACTTGCTTCGCCTCATAATTGTCTAACCGGTTTGCTAAGTGTTGTTGTAGAAATTTTTAATAGGCTATTCACCCCCCCCCTCTAGCCATTAGGACCTTTCAAGTGGTATCAGAGCCGAGGTCACCGTGATTTGAGGCTTAACAACCTTCGGTGTAAAAATGGTTCAAATCAACAACACCAAGAAGCCATCCCAATTTGATGGCACAAATTATCCATATTGGAAATCAAAGATGACCACACATATCAAGTCAATCAATAGAAGAGTGTGGAAGGTGGTAGAAACCAAAATTGAGATTGAAGATCCGGAGAATCCCATCGCGGCTGAAGAGGTGCTTCTCCAAAACAATG